CTTTTTACCTCTAGAATCCTTGCAAGATGACCCAGAAGTAGATTCTTGAAGCACCAAATTGATCCAAGCTTGCTTAACAACTCTCCTTCTTGAAAGAACTCCAAAATGACCAAGAAAACCCTTTTCTTAGGCTCAAAATCTCACTCACACACTAACTCAGCCGTAGGAAGACGAAATGGGGCTAAAGAGACTGATAGGGTTTGGTCAAAGAGGCCAAGATGTGTTTAAATAGGGACCAAGTCCAGGATTTTGGGTTTTGACCCTCCAATGCGTATGCCCGACGTACCCTCACGTACACCCAACGTACGCGAGGCTCCTCCGAGATCAATGAAGCAGAGTACGCTAAGCGTACACATAGGTACGCCCAACGTACTCAAGGGACCAAATATGAAAAATATAAATTCTTGAGGTTCTCAAGACATACCAGTTTTTTGGGTATTACAAGTATTACAAAAAAAGAAACTATATTGACAAAACCATTGTTAAATCGAGACACACACCTAACAATTCGGTGTTTACAAGTGTATAATAAAAATAACAGAGTGCCTTCAGAGCGAACACTTCCAACCTGATAAATAACCCGAGAATACATGCATTTAAAATACGTCAACAAAATTGTTGGTGGGTTCAACAGGTTTGGACACAAAGTATATTTATAACCAAAAGTGTTTTATAAAATTCATGTGGTTAACCAACTTTTATAAATACGTACTTTTCTATCAAAAGTATAAAGTCATTAAGTTATAAGAATATATTTGGACTCATTTATAAATATCGTTTTTTCAATCCAAAAGAACAATATTTGGTGAATATATAAGCAAATCAAAATTAAATTGACTTTTCACGATTAGGGGGACCAAAATGCTTTTTATATAATGATTTTGAATAATGATTTATATAGAATAAATTCATATCACTCTTTATGAGACCATTTGAAACCTTGTACAAGCATTCGTATAATTTACATGAAAAACTCATACATTTTGAATTTATAAACTCCTCCCACGTAAATATTGTGTTTTCGTATAGAAACAAATTGTGTTCTATAAATAATGTGTTTTATGTAAGTTAATAAACCTCGTTGATTTGTATCATGATTTTAATTAAGTGTTACATGGCTTAATTTTTGGTATTGAAATTATCGTTTTGAGTCACAAACTATCCCACTAAATATTATCTCTTTCAACTAGTATAAGTGTACAAATACTCCGTATAAACCCAATCTATATTCTTTATGGTAATAGAAAAAAACTAAGATTTTGTAATGAGCTCATAACCGAACTCGAGACACTACACTTTTTGTACCGACTCCTTAATAGGGCATGCTAAATTCATTCACCTCGTTATAGCTCGTGGTAATATTCAATGAAACTAACGCTAATGCCAAAATCCGTCTTGTCAGACGTAGTTGTAGTTAGGAACTCCCAGGTGGGCGGTCGAACTGTATAAGATTAATAGTATGGCACTTATACCTGTCCTTAGTCATTCTCGTTATGAAAATAAAAAGTTTTCCCACTAAGACACACAGTCTTAATACGCTCAACGACATAGCTCAAATGGCTCTAGAAACAATGTGACACCAATAGGGATACCTAGAAATGTTGGATCATAATAATGTGTCTATGCATCCTAGTCCTAAACTTCCCGTTATAATATTTTTTAAAATTTATAAATTTATTTTTACGAATAATATTTGATTGAAGTCTTCTAGTATTGAGATACACAAGACTTAATGGACTTCCAAATTTCTATTGTTTGTTATGATGAAATTTGGGCAACACAAAGACTGCTTCTATGATATTTTCCAGTTTTAAGTAACATGAACCCAATAATTTCCATGCTATTTATAATTCACATGATTAATACTATACAATACCCCACAAATAATGACTCTTAAGTCGTGAAGTCTACCATGTTATTTATTGCAATAAAAATCCATAACTAAGTAAATTTAGTTATATTCTTATAATTTATATAAAAATATATTAATGAAATTTCCATTGATTTTTACAAAACCTTATATATTAAAAGTTAAATTTTATAATTTTAACTAATAATTATATAATTTCATAAACTTAGTTTGTCCATCCAATATGACAACACACTTTCTTTTTATACACGGATAACATTTTTGGTCATTTTTATATCTTTTCGTGCTTCCATGAGATACTTTAACTTATACATGTAAAATCATCATTTTTCTGACTTAATAATATCAACATGTGTTATTATTGTAAAATATTTCTTATCTTGTGAGTTATCTCAATAATTATATTCATATTTCACATAAGGTATAATTATATCATCTTTTAATTATCTACTTTAAGTTAATAGATGTAACAGTGATTTATCATATTTTTAGTTTGTTATTTCATAAACGTCTGACCAATAATCAAGTAAGATGCTATTTTGTATATAAAACTTGAAAATCATCAAATTTTAATAGACACGTATATATTATCCTCCAAAATATTCAAACCGTCAAAAGTGGGACCATAGAAACTCTTATTCGATGCGTGATCTCAATCCCAGTTTGTTTTGGTGAAGCTTCACGTGAGAAAACGCAACGTTACCATTCTTGGACTTTCAAATGTTTTCGGGTTTATTTAGTAATATTTAAAATTAAAGGGACTCATTTTCAAATATTTTATAGTTAAAAGAAAAGGCTATTTTGTAATTTATTTTTCACAGGGGACTAAATTTGTAATGAATTATATTAAAAGAGGCATTTTTCTTAAAATGTTAAATCAATTGGGATCTGCTTGGAAAAGATTTTTGTCATGTTTCTAATTTTAATTTAAAGCATCAATTAGAGGGACTGATTTTGTCCATCTAATACAAAGTTTGGGTGTTTTGACCTCAAAATCAAAAAGTTCGTGGTTAGTCGATCAAAAGGGGCTCCAAGAAACAAAGAGGCGTCATCCTGTTCACCAATCGGGAGAGGGAAAACAGTTCGTGGTGACACTTCGTGAGGAGGGGTGAGGGGGTCTGTCAACACCGGAGGTGGTCTCGGTGGCGATTAATCTATCGTGAGGAGGGGTGAGGGGGTCCATCAGCACCGGTGACACTTCGTGGTTTGAACCTCCGTCACCGGAAGCCACGAATCGCATGGAGCAAAACAGTTGCAATGGGGTGGATGGGTAGCGGTTGAAGGGGGAAGCATATGGCTCGGTGGTGGAAGACCAGTTGAGAAGAAGAGCACCTCCGGTGCCTTATTGATATGTAGAGGGGGAGTTACGAAAGCAGCAAGGCTTGCTTAAGCAGCTCCTGTGCTTCTTCTGTCTCAGAAGGAAGGTGCGAAGGTAGGGAATCAGAAGGGGGTTGTCACCTCCGATGTTCGCTCCGGGGAAACACCCACTTCGGTGGACTTTGCTCTCGGTGGTTGGAAGGTGCGTGGACGGGGGCTGCCCTGGCAGCTCCCCTGATAATCTTCTTCCTTTTTCTTTTTATAGAAATCATTGGAAATGGTATGTTTGGGGTTGCTTTTAACAGAAATGGATTTAGGGAAAGAATATTTGGGTTTGATTGTTTGGCAGGAAAAGGAAACATGAGAAGAAACGGGCTACTGCCCTCTTGGTTATTCTTGGAAGAAATCGAAGGAGGTGGCTGCAATGGTTGATCAAGGGGGTGTTTTACATCTGGGATTCGATAGGTGAAGAGGGTAGAAAAGAGGTTGTTGCTTCCTTGTTTTCACCAGAAATCAACACACCTCCGGTGTGTTTCTCATTAGCCAATCTAAATTGAAAAAGAGTGAGGGGTCGAGAGTTTTTGTAGGAATAGGGTGAGGATGGTTCATTCTTGCAATATGTGAACTTTCACTCAAATATTGGAAGATTTTTTTGATAGATTTGTTGTACTTGGAAATTTTTGGAAGGATTTTGAGAGTACAGTACATTCATTGATTCATGTGTGTATATGTGTGATGTATTGATTGTGTATTTGTTTGTATAAGTAGAGTACATCCAAATCTTGTTTGATTTTTTATTGACTTTGATGTGTACTTTAAATCCTATACGACTGGATGCATATGTGTGTGTGGGTTTAAGGTGTTTCTTCACATCATACATACACATCCATGCACTATGAGTTTAATACACACAAATATGTTTATGATTTGGTTTGTACCCATAACATATTGAGTAAGATTTGGATGTACAAATTTATTTTTGTGCTTGCGAGTTAAAGATAGAGCTGGAAAAAAGTGACCTAACCCACCAAGCCAACCCGAACCCAATCCAAAATTAGCGAGTTGGGTTTAGATTTTCAACCAGTGTAAGTTATACAGGTTAATCCGTCTAACCTATTTAATTAAATAGGATGGGTGAAAATTATCGATCTTTTTTCAACCTGCCAACCCATTTAAGTTATATATATATATATATATATATATATATATATATATATATATTATATATATATATATATATATATATATATATATATATATATATATATATGGAAAAGTGAATATACCCTTATGGGTATATAAGTTTAGGTACCCAAACACATCATAATACATCATTTTCTTTGATATATTTATTATAATGTTCTTAAACTTAAACCTTAACTTGATTTACTTTCAAGATATTTGAACTTTCACTATTATCTTTGTCTTAAATCACATCTTTTTGCCGAACATCTACTAGGCTATATATATTGTACTTGAAAATGAAAATTATGTAATAGGAACATAAATGTGTAATTTATAAAAATCTTGGAAGTACATGAAGTTAGAAGTTAAATCATAAGAACATTGGACAATTAGAATGTATTATATGATACAAAACGACTTAATATGGTGTGTTTGGGAACCTAAGCTTATATACCCTTAAGGGTATATTCACTTTTCTCATATATACATTTATATATATATATATATATATATATATATATATATATAATTTGATATTTATATATATAATAATATGTTTTACCGTATTCCTATAACCCTATTAATATATTAAAGATTTAAAGGTCTTAGTTTTTATGGAGCCTTTTTACACACAGACAAATCAGTGAATCCCATACGCAAACCTAAATTAGAGCTGGAAAAAATAAAAAGGTTAGAATACATTTTCTTTTAAATTATTACGTATTAATTAGAAGCTTACGGCTTTACACGTTAGGTTTCTTAATATCTTTTCGTTACTTCATCTTTTTGACGATTCAATTTTGGCGTTTGGATTTTCACAGTTCCTAGATGTGCTCCTCAATACGATCTTCATTGGAACACCATACGATAAGTAATAGTATAGTACGAATTTATTATACGCAAGAAACAAGAACCAAACTTCAAATTTCACTTCATATTCCTTCTCTAATTCTCTCTGGCAGCAGTTTATCTCTGATTCCATGGAGAATTTGACATCTGAAAGCGAAAACAAAAGTAAGATATTTCTATTCAAGTTCTTCCATTAAGATGTTTTCTAGTTAATTTGATTTATCATAAGTGTTAGGTTAACACTTTATTTTTTTTCAGTGGCGAATATTGCTGAAATATCGGAAAAATATGTCCATGGGGTACAGTCTCCTACACCTCCAACAGGGGACATTGAGAAGAATCCAAAGCCCGTCAAGCAATTAAAGCCACAAAAAACTAGTGTGGATGTCAAACGTCACAAAAAACTTATGTCAGAGATTTGGAAAGATTTTGAATTTCTGGATACCGATGAAAATGGTGAACTGCATTGTAAATGTAGAAAGTGTGGTCAAGTTTATAAGTCTGAAACTAGAATGGGTACTAGAAATTTAAAACACCATCTTAGCATCTGTAAACCAAGTTGTTTAAGGGATATTGGGCAAATGGTTTTGGATATTGGTGGCAATGGTGGTTCAATAACTAGCAGGGTCCTTGAGTTTAATCCTAATACCTTTCGTGAGTTGTTAGCCACTACCATAGTAAGGCATGACCAGCCATTTAAATTTGTTGAATACGAAGTTGTTAGGAAATGTTTTACTTATCTAAATCCTGAAGTTAAAATGGTTGCAAGGAATACAATAAAAGCCAAAGTTCTTGATATATATAAAATGGAAAAGATGAAAATGACAAAGGCTTTGAGTTGTATCCCAGGTAGGATTTGTTTGACATCAGACTCCTGGTAATCTATAACCACTGATGGTAATCTTTCTTTAACTGCCCATTTCATTGATAGTTCTTGCAATTTGTGGAAAATGGTTTTAAATTTTAGTTTTTACCTCCGCCACACCGGTCTTGCTATGAGTGATCTTTTATTTGGTCTTTTGAAGGATTTGTTCTTCAAAAAAAGTTTTTTCCATTACTTTAGCTAATGCTTCTGCTAATGATGCGATTGTTGATTATTTAAAGACTGAAATTGATTTAGTTTGTGAAGTTGCTTATTTTCATGTTAGGTGTTATGCACAAATTAAGAACCTCATTTAGTTTGTGAAGTTGCTTATTTTCATGTTAGGTGTTATGCACATATTAAGAACCTCATTGTGCAGGATAGCTTAAAGGAGGTTGACAATGCTGTCACTAAAGTTTGAGAGAGTGTTAAGTACTGCAAAGGTTCTCAATCTAGGAAGAAAAACTTTTTAAAGAGTGTTGCACATTTGGAGCAACAATCTGTGAGGGGTTTAAGGCAAGATGCTCCAACACGATGGAACTCAACTTACATGATGTTAGATTCTGTTTTATATTATAAAAAAGATTTTATTCACTTGCAAAAAACAGATGCTAATTATTTGCATTTCCCAACAACCGAGGAATGGGGAACAGTTGAACAGATTTTTAAGTTCTTAAAAGTCTTCTATGAGGTCACTTGTGCATTTTCTAGTTCTAATTATCCTACCACCAATCTTTATTTTGCAAATGTTTTGATGGTTAGAGTGTTGTTACATAAAGAAAAGGGAAGCCATGATAAATTTATGCAAAAATGGCTAGTAGGATGTATGCCAAATTTGAGAAATATTAGGATGAGTTTAGCACGATTATGGCGGTTGCTGCTATTGTGGATCCTCGATATAAGTTTCAAATTGTTGAATGGCGTTACGAGAAAGCTTACGTGGAGACGTACAAATCTGAATGGGCAATAATGAAGCAAAAACTAGTTTTATTATTCAATGGGTATTTGGATGAGTCAAAGTTGAAGAACTCTAAAGATGGTCAGCCTACATGTGGATCGTTGAACACCCAAGAAGGACCTCAGGATATACTAGAATCTGCTTCTCTTTTAATGGTATGTATATTTTCTTTAATTATGTCTTAATATGTGTATATTTTTGCATTTTTGCTTCACTAAAATCTGATGCGTTTTTTTTTTCAAGTTTATTCTTGCATTTTTGTTTTTTTTCGGGTTTATTGTTGTATTTTCAAGTATGTAGCTGCGTTTTCTGTTGATTTTTACAGGTATATTGTTAAGTTTTTTTACATGTATATAACTGCATTTTTCTACTGCCTTTTTGTTTCTCAATATTTTTTGGTTGTTGTTTTAAATGTGCATAACTGCATTTTTTTTTGTTCAATTATAGGATTTCGATAACTTTTCAGCTAAGGTGACTTCTCAAGCTGTCAAATCTGAGCTTCAATGTTATTTAGAGGAGAAGCTCATGCCTCGTGTGGATAATCTAAACATTTTGGACTATTGGAAAACATAGGAAATTCGATATCCAACTCTTGCTCAGATGGCTAGGGACGTCTTAACTCTCCCAATCTCAACGGTTGCATCCGAATCAACTTTCAGCACGGGTGATAGGGTCCTTGATGCTTATTGAAGTTCTTTAAAGCATTCTAATGTTGAAGCTATTATATGTCTAAGAGACTGGGTCTATGGAGAAGGTATATTCCAACTTTTATTTATATATTTTTCATTATTATATAAAACTATGTGGATTCATCATGACGGAAACGATAGATGATGAAGATGCAATTCATATCGAGAGTGAAAGTGGAGTTGGTGAAAACGGAAATCGAGTTACCCAGATATTAAACATTTATGATGTTTTTTTTTTTGATAAACTTATTTGTATTTTTGAATTGTGATCGTACTTTTATCTAACTCTGAATATTTATTTGGGTTTTAAACTAATTTAATTAGGTGTAATTTGTTTGGTTTACATTTTTAGTTTTAAATGGGTAACCCAGGTTCAACCTATTTATTTAATAGGTTGGGTTGGAAAAAGCAAAAATAGATCAACCCGATGACAACCCATTAACCCAATAGGCTGGGTTGGGTTGAAAATTGCACCTATTTATACATTGAAATCCTTTACCCAATTAATAAATGGGTTGAACCCGAACCCAACCCAGGTCGACCCATTGCCACCCCTAGTTGGAGAGAATACGTGAGAGAGGAGTGTAGTGAGGTATTTGAGTATTTAATAAAAATGCATAGCAAATACACATAAATTTGTAAGTATTCGGGCATTTAAAAAAAACAAAACTCAAACGAAATTAAACTTACGATACACGGAACTACGAGAAGTGGTGTCTAATGGACTCCACGTTCAAAATGTTTAAATTTGACAGATTTAGCAAAACCGGTTATACTTTAGGATAAAAATATTACTAGATGACATAGTATAATAGACATAATCGTTAGTAAAAAAAACAAAAAAACCTTCTCAAGTTTTTTATTAAGGCGTGCAATTTAGTTCCACAATTAATTAAAGATAATATAATTTCAATTGCTTATAAAAATATACATTAACGTATAATATTTCCAACTATAGTAGAGATTGAAGGGATTGACTGACGAATTTTTGACCTGATTTTTACCAATTGTTACATTATCCCTCCGTTGAAATGATTTTCGTCCCGAAATTCAATGTCTAGATAGAATATTATAAAACACTTGGTGGTGTTTTCATTTCGCTTGATACATACATGATCTTTCTAAAATCGATTTACATCTCGTAGCTCTAGAATAGATAACTAATCTAATATACAAATTTAACACAAAATCACCACCAAATAAGGAATATGTAATAAGAGCTACTCAAATATTTTAAAGATCATCGAGTCTTTTATATAATTTAGTCGTGCGCACTTCCACAAACATGAAACTTTAGAATTATTTTGTAAATACACTTTATTGAAAGATATAACAAGTGTGTCATTGGATAGACACTCTTCGAGATTTGGCATATGAAAAGCGTCGGACATGCCGTTTACTTTTCGAGATAAATGGATATAAATATCAGGACCGAATTTTATCAATGAATCTCGAAGGTCCTTTAAGTTGTGGTTTAACTTAACTCTTTCTCTAAGTCGAATCATTCTTCTTAAAGGGAAAGCTTTTAAAGTTACACAATCTCTGACTTGGAAGCTGAAAAACTTATTTCTTTGGTCTACATAAATCTTTTGTCATTTCGTGTACAGATGGTAATCGTTACCAGGCTCACACAATCTTTTCTGTAATCTATTGTGTGATTCATGTATCAAAATGTGGTGGATCACCTGCATGCTCTTTGTTCGGTTTCGCATCTTTAATCATTCCTCAATTCATCTACGTGCACCTCAATCCTTTACGTATTGGTCATTATAGACGAGCAAGTTCCTTGCCATTTCAGAAAGGTAGGATTGGTGTCGTACACCATAGTTGTCCCAACTTCTAGAATATATTCTCTAGCTTATTTTTCCAGTTGCTACCTTTTGGCTCTAACATTATTGACAATTAGGCTACCATAAAGACAAGGGCGTATCTACATACAGCAAATGTAGGTCCTAGGACCCACCTATTTTTTTAGTTTTATATATTAATTACATTGAATAAAGTTTAGGAACCATCTTGAGAAAAAATATGACCTACCTTATGACAAGATAAAAAACAAATAAATGAAAGAAATGGTGGTGGATTTATATTTAAATTTACAAAACAAATAGTTAATATTTATTAATATTTATCCCCATATAGGAGATAAAAAGAAAGAGATGTAATTATTTGATATTAGAAAATGGATGGCAGATAGTTATAATGCAAGTTGAAAAACAACACAACTCATTCCATATTGTTGCTTCCAAAAATAATTATTGCAAATGAACTCTTTAATAAAAAAGAGATTTAGTCGTGCAAAATAAATGTTTTGTTTTTTACAAAAATTTAGTTTTAGAGGCAAGGTAGACTGGTTTTTACTGGTTCAACCCGACCCAATTCATCACATGGATTGTTTACTTTTTAGATTTTTCGATTTCACTTAATTAGGAACCATGTACTATTCTATTCTAGATTCACCACTGCATAAAGAAGTTCCCGATGGATCACTGGTAGTACCCAACATAAATTCTTTTGTTGTTAAATTTCTAGCATTCATTTCTTGGGAAGAAGTCTTCACTTAAACTTCTACATTTGATCAAATCATTCACATTTGATTAAATCCTTAACAGTTGATCTTTAGGGTAAGAAAACAACTTTAGGTTTTCTCCAACTTGTCATCATAAATGACCATGGTTTTCTCGTGGGTAGATTTAGTCGTACAAATTTCTTGTAGTATAGATCTAGACATAATGGGGAGGTAGCCTATTCGTACCTATGATTTGGTATGTGTTGGAATGAAATTCATTAAAATTTCGTAAATATATTTATGACACTTCACATGTTATCTCTACTCTGTAGGTTTACTCCAATCTATTGGGTTTATGACTCAGAATAGTTTTAAATTTAGGGTTCACAAGGATTTCTATGCATATTTGGATTACCAGTACTTCAGTAAATAAGTGCTTAATGAGAAATGTACCAATGGCTACTGATGGTTCCTAGATTTTTATTCTTTATTTCGATCATGATTGCTCTTAATCGAGTTGTCACTTCCTGGTTCTACAGTCTTGGGCAGTTTCACCGTCTTCATATCAAGCTTTTCTTTAACTAGTGCATGTTCTAATTTATGTATCTCACTTCCGTGAGCATCTTATTTCGTTATTCTCAAGTCGTGGCATAAGCAGAATGAAAGCTTATCATTTCGGTATAGTAGATTTACCTGGTAAAGTCAGTGTCCTTAAAGGTGTAGGTGGCATTCTTTTGAACTTGGATGGTTAAAACATAAGTCAGACCGTTCACAATAAAACGAAATTGGCTAATTGAATTCCTGAGCCAAATTCTAAAAGATTTGTGAATGCACGCATACTGCGTAATGTATTCCTACGAGGTTTAATAGGAGTGTTCGTAGAGTATTATATTTGAGAATTTTGCATTTCGAGATAAAAATCGGACATGATTTATGTTTATGATGCGTATAGTTTCATGAGTATTTGAGGTAAATATTCGCTAAGTATTCGTAAGTATTCACTAAGATTTTTAGAGAGTTCTTAATCATTTTGAATTGTGATTTTCCTTAAAAATTCTGGATTCAAAGCATTTTAGTCATCCAATAACCGAATCCAAGCTGGATTGTGCATCAGTCTGACCATATTTAAATATAGGTGATCAGTCCACATCTAGTTGTGGTTTGGCCCACATACAACCAACTTAGCTAAGACGTTTGACCCAAAACCTCGCGTTGTATTAACAATCAAGGGTTCGAGTTTATATAACTCTATATTTGAGGGTTAAGGAATATACTTAACCTAAGAGAGTAAGTCCTTGGATATAGTTGTGTTTTGATAAGGAACTACTAGTTTGTTATAGCAATTAGCTCTCATACGTATTTGTCACACCCCCAGCCGCGGGTGGAAACATGTTTTATGTAAGTTAATAAACCTCGTTGAGTCGTATCATGATATTAATAAAATGTTATATGACTTAATTTTTGGTATTGAAATTATCGTTTTGAGTCACACACTATCCCACTAAATACTATCTCTTTCAACTAGTATATATAAGTGTACAAAAACCGTGTATAAACCCAATCTACTTTCTATACAGTAATGGAACAAAACTGAGATTTTGTAATGAACTCATAACCAAACTCGTGACACTACACTTTTTGCACCGACTCCTTAATAGGGCATGATAAAGTCATTCACCTCGTTATAGCTCGTGGTAATGTTCAATGAAACTAGCGTTAATGCCAAAATATGTCTCGTCAGACGTAGTTGTAGTTAGGAACTCCCAGGTGGGCAGTCGAACCGTATAAGATCAATAGTATGGCACTTATAACTGTCCTTAGTCGTTCTGTGAGGATTAACGGTTATGAAAATAAAGAGTTTTCCCACTAAGACACACAGTCCAAATACACACAACGATATAGCTCAAATGGCTTAGGAAATTAACCTAACTCATATGGCTCTAGAAACAACGTGACACCAATAGGGATACCCATGAATCTTGGATCCTAATAATGTGTCTATGCATCCTAGTCCTAAACTTCCAGTTATAATATTTTTGAATATTTATAATTTTATTTTTAGGAATAATATTTGATTGAAGTCTTCTAGTATTGAGATACGCAAGACTTAATGGACTTCCAAATTTCTATTGTTTGTTATGACGAAATTTGGGCAGCTTAACTACTGATTTTCTGATATTTTTCAGTTTTAAGTAACGTGAAACCAATAATTTCCATGCTATTTTTAATTCACATGATTAATACTATACAATACCCCACAAATAATGACTCATAAGTCGTAAAGTCTATCATGATATTTATTGCAATAAAAATCCATAACTTAGTAAATTTAGTTATATTTTTATAATTTATATAAAAATATATTAATAAAATTTCCATTCATTTTTACAATACCTTATATACTAAAAGTTAAATTTTATAATTTTAACTAATAATTATATAATTTCATAAACTTAGTCTGTCCATCCAATATGACAACACACTTTCATTTT